CAGGTCCCCAGTAGCTGGTACCTGAGAGGCAACCACACTTTGATGTTTCTCTCCCTCTTTTTCTCCCTCTCTTTCTTCCTCTCTCACCCTCTGTCTAAAATAAATTTTAAAAATCTTTTAAAAAAATTAGAGAAGTTACTTTATTTTTTTCATATTGGTTGTATCTTTGTTTGAAGTATATTGTACAAATATTGTGGAAAGTCTGCCCATTGAGTATAATAGAGTTTAAAACCAAGTTTGAAGGTCTAAGATAAAGAACACATATTCATGTCCTTCCTCACAATGTCTGCCTAGAGATGTCTGCATAATAGAAACACACTAAAGGTTGTGAAATTGATATTTATACCTTAAGGCAGCACACTCCTGTCACCCAGCTAGAAAGTTAAGACTCTGCTACTTTTCCCTGAGAAGAGCTGTTGTTCATGCTAATTTTTGGTTCATTTGTTCTTTCATGGGTAATTGCACAGAATAACAAAAAGCACCTACTTAACTTACAGCTTGGCAGAAACAGTAGCTTATGTTTTCTAGAGACAAAATTGGAAGCAGGCTCCCTGGACCCATCTTCAAGACAAAATAAAATAAAATGTCTAGGGAACCACTGTGTGTCCCAGTAAACATAGTCCATGAAGTAATATTGTTTAGGTCAAGATGTCCTAGAATGAGAGAATAGGGAGAAAGTAAAGGGCGAAGGGAAAATATGTATTTGAATAATATGTTTTCGTAGAGATGAAGAGGCAAGTTGTTTTTCTTCCTTACTTTGTCTTTTCTACATGGGAATATAAATATTTGTAGGATCCTAATCTTCCTTCTGCAATTATCAAAAAATAAAAAGTGAGTATACAGTTGTCAAGGGGGGGTTATAGCTTAAATTGTATTTCATTTATAATATAGAATATCACCATCCTTTCTGTGGAGCTTAAGTCTTAGCAAAACTAAACCATTGAGAAATTATCTTTATTTTTTCCATTTTTTAGAGAAAAAATGGATACTTATTCTACCCTTCTGTATAAAATATAATTCAATTAGCAAGCATTTAATAAACAACTGTGCATAAGTACTAAAGGGAAAACAGAATAATAAGACATTGTCCTTTTGCTCCAGTACTTGAAATTGAATGGCAGAGATATTTATCCAAATAATTATATCAGAGTTAAGAGAGAAGTACAAAATATTGTGGGAACACAGAGAATGGAGGGTATTTTTAAGTTGGAGAATTCATGAAAGGTTTCATGGAGGAAGTAGCATTTGGACTATTGTAGGATTTCCCACTACTGTGGGAAAGACTCATGGGATTGTGATGTGTAGAAGTGAAGGATGGGAAGAAGATAGAGCAGCCTGAGCACAAACAAAGATGAACAGACTAAAAAATGTAGACTATATTTAACCTGGTCAGAAGAGGATATGCCTAAGTACAGACTATACCAAGAATGAAAGTGAGGATTGGGATCAACAGTGGAAAAGATCACTAGTGGGAAAAGCAGGTCAGGGCTGTGCCAGGGAGAGAGACTCGAATGCCAAGCCAGGGTAATTTAATTTGCTGTATAGCTCAGAGCTTCTCCTGCTTTCCCACCAGTATGCCCTTAATACATAGCAAAAACATAGCATTCTTGGGGCCAGGGATATATAGGTGGAGCACAGAGGATATTTAGGGCAATGAAGCTCTTCTGTATGATACTGTAGTGGTGGGTACATGGCATTATCCCTTTATCAAATCCCATAGAATGTACAACACAAAAAGTAAACCCTAATGTAAACTATGGAGTTTAGTTAATAATTATGTATTAATACTGGTTCATCAATTTGTAGCAAGCATGCCACACTAATGCAAGTGTTAATAATAAGGGAAATCCAAGTTAATAATAGAGGAAATTGTGTGTTTTTAAGGCATGGGAGAAAGGGGAAAGGGTATGTGGGAGCTCTGTACTTACTGCTCAATTTTTATGTAAACCTAAAACCACTTAAAAAAATAAAGTCTATTATTTTTTTAAAAATCATATCCTTTTGGCCGTGAAATATACTACAAATACAATTTTGTAGGAGTTTCATATTATATCTTTAAAATCACATGAATTTTTATTCTATTCATTTGCACATAAATGACTATTTTAACATTAAAATTTTCCCCCAAACATCAATGAAATCAATGACCTATAAGGACATGATTTTTGTATTAAGAAGCATGGCTTTAGTTGACAGCGAGTCATTGACATCATGTTAAAAGTGAAGCAAAACAAAATTAAACTGGTAAAATTATGAGCAATCAATTTTTCTTGCAACACAGGCATTTTCTGCATCCTTATTTTCACTTCCCAGTCTTCATACAGAGGCATATACTCTACCTTTAAGTCACTTAGTGAAACTTTATTTTGTTTACAATAAGCATAATGACACATAATTGGTAACCAACTTTTATCGATATTACAATTGAAACCAGAGAGGTATATTTTGATATGAAGGTAATTTATACCTAGAAAAATTTGAAATAAACCTGCTGAGGAGATGGGCAAAGTAAATGGAGTGATCTGGGTTGCACAGGTTTAGATGTATTTTGAGACAAAGAATTCAGTTCAGTGTGTGCCCCTGTCATTGAGAACACAAACTTTTTTCTGGCTGTCATTGAGACCCATATGACCTTTAAGCTATCACCAATGCACATTCCTCTTTTTGGCATCTAGTATTTACACTGTAACTCAGATAACTTAAGGTTGTTTGGGTACTTACTTATGTAGATATTCAGACATGTGAACCCAAATGGTGCCTAATGAGTCCTCTTGGAACCACTGAAGCACATTCATAGGACTAGTCTCCTTATTTATGTGCTCAAGGCACTTTGTTTTCCTTATGAAGACCACAACTGGAATCTTTACCCTCATGCAAAAATCAGCCTTTGAGAGTAAATTCCTTAGCTCTCTGCTTGCTGGGAAAATACAAGAGACCCATTCCCAGATACCCCTAGAAAAACAGCCCTTCCTCCATGAAACATTTTTATCAGTGAGAGAACAGGGTTTCTGCATCAGTCTTGAGTTTGTCTCTACTTAGTAGCTGTTGGACCCTGGGCAAGTCTCTTTACTTCTCTAGTCCTAACCTCCTTACCTCTAAAGTGGTGTTAATATCTTGAGTTACATGGAATAAAATGTATAGTGTGTCTGCAATGTGGGAGGTAGCCGATAAATACTAGTTTGCTTTCTCCCTTCCCCGCATCATGCTAAAATTTAATCAATTCATTTAGCATTTAATAAATAAATGTTTAACGAACACCTACCATGAGCCAAGCCCTTTGCTAGGAGATGGGGATATTAATTACAAAAAAACACAGATAAACATATGATTTCAGGTACCCTAGAATTTATGAGCAATTCATTTTTTTGCCTTCAATGTCAGCAATCTCAAATTCCCATACCTCTCTACTGGTATTTTTGACCAAAGGGTTAACATTTAATATACTGTGACTATGCTTTTGGCACCACTTTAATAGTCAACTGCTTTCAGGTAAACCAAGTCAGACAGGTTCTCATTGCATAAAGGTCTTAAAGTCTACCCACTTCAGTCACACACAGATCCACATTAAATACTTAGAACCAAAATCTCTCAGGGTTTTATTTCACTTACTGTGACCACAAATCACATTTAGAAAAATGCATGTGGCATGTATCATCTTAAGCAGGAAATTCATGAAGCAGTTAATCTATGGCCTTATAATCCATACCAGTGTTCTTACCTTTGTTTTTTTTATATGTTTTCTTGTTTCCATTTCTGTTTTGTCTTGGGGTGGTTTAAAATTAATTCTGGTCTAGATTCTCATTTTAACATTTCCTCATTGATAATCAAATATGTTTTCACATATTCTAACCTCTCTATTCTCAATGTGGGGAATACCTTCTCCTTTTTAAGGAAAGCTGTATGCAAGGAAAACTTATTTGGGTATTTTCATTGCACAGAAGAGATATTTTCTTTTTAAAAACATTTTATTTATTTATTTTTAGAAAAAGGAGAAGGGAGGGAGAGAAACATCAATGTGTGATCAGTTGCCTCACATGCCCCCAAGCGTGGGACCTGGCCCACATCCAGGCATATGCCCTGACTGGGAATCTAACCAGCGACCTTAAGAAAAAAAAATATTTTACAGTACAGTTAAATAATAAATCCTTATATAAATTTAATATATCAACTTTTCATTCTGGCCAGCATGGCTCAGTTGGTTGGAGCATCATCCCATGGACCAAAAGGTCATGGGTTTGATTCCTGGTCAGGGCACATACCCAGGTTTCAAGTTCAATCCCCATTGAGGTGTGTATGAGAAGTTACAAGAAGGCAACCAATTGATGTTTCTCTCTTACACTGATGTTTCTCCCTCTCTCTCTCACTCCCCCCACTTCCTGTCTCTCTAAAAGCAATGGGGAAAAAATGTCCTCGGGTGAGGATAAAATATACATGTGAGTGTGTGTGTACATACACATACACATGCATATGTATATACACATATATGTATGCGCGTGTGATGAGCAATCATATATATATGTATATATGTATGTGTATATACACACACATATCCCAACTTTCCTGTCATACAAAAGCATTATAAATATGAATGGAGGAGCAAACTTTTTATCCTAAAGAGAAAAATATTTAGGATATCTAATATCAAGAAAGTAGAATTGTCCCAGAACTCCATACTCTTAAAAGTTATTAACAAACTTGATTGATGATCTTTTATAAATGATAATGAGAACTGGGCTGTCTGAAGGACATTTATGTCAGTGCACTGTACACATTGGTACTGCTGTAGGGTTCTCTACTGTGATATCCAGGTAAGCGGTGACTTCTTTTAGTAAAACCATCTGGGCAGCACTAAGAAGGTGGTTATGTTTTCTTCTCTCATTGTGATAACCTAGATGAAATCACTTTACCAAACATTCTTTCAGTTCCCTTTCTGCATATCTTCAGAGGACTGCTCTGTCCTCCAGGACCAATTTCATAGCTATTCTTTTTTTACATTTCAGAAATTACCATGGTTGACACAGAGATGCCTTTTTGGCCCACCAACTTTGGAATCAGCTCCATGGATCTTTCTGTAATGGATGACCACTCCCATGCCTTTGACATCAAGCCCTTCACCACCGTTGATTTCTCCAGCATTTCTGCTCCACACTATGAAGACATTCCTTTTGCAAGAGCTGACCCAATGGTTGCTGATTATAAGTATGACCTGAAGCTCCAAGAGTACCAAAGTATGATGGTTATTTTCACTTTTAAGACTACTAAGCTAGCATTAGACTAATCGCAAAAACACTGGAGTAAGTGCTCCAGAGACTGAAACTATGTAGAGAAGACATTTATCATTCACTTAGTCATCCATTTATCAATGAAATATTAAGTATTTATGATATGCCAGAAAGGAGAACAATGAATAAATACCCCAGATTGTCCTCTCCTTTTTTTCCCTTCTTCCTTTTTCTCTCCTTTTTTTTTCTTTTCTTACTTCTTCTTAGGAACATTATCCAGCATGATTATATTGCCAGGTATAGCTCAGGCTGAGTAAGAGTCCATCACCCAAACTTAAAACTCTTTTGGCCACTTGTAAGTTACTAAGTAACAGTTTGCTACCTTATCAACAATAAATTGCTAAATTATAATCCAGTTTTTCTAATTCTGCCATTTAAGAAGCTTACTGAAAACTATTTCAGCACAAATTAAATTTTGACAATTTAGTCAAATTTATTATTGATAAATCTTCATGTAATTAACTCACTTCACACTGAAACATCAGACCAAGAAAAACTAAACTGCACTTTCAAGATAAAATAAATTTCTATGATGCTATTTCCTTGATTTTTATCTCTTTGTGTACTGATATGCTGGTTTTCCAAAGCCACCAGCTATGTAATTGGTAACCATTACTTGACAGTAAGAACTTCCTGTATTTCTAGTTTTCTTTAGATAAACACTAAACTTGGTTATATTTACATGTGTGGTTTTCAGTTAAAGCCTAATAAGGAAATATAATAGCTCTGATCCTAACCAATGGAAAAGTAGTGTTTAATTTCCATAGGTTGTTTCACTCTGCATCAAAGATCATTTTACAAACCACCTTTTCTGACTCAACACCGATGGTAACCTGGTCTCTTATTTGTCATGTACCTTCAAGTTGAGTTTCCCGTTACCTTTTCATGGCAGTGGTCCTGTGTTTCTTTTGCAAGAGTTTTAAAATACTTCTAAAATGTAACATTTAAATTAAAATATACAATTTAATATTGTGAAAATGCCAAATACAGTACATTATGTAGTAAAATAACCTTAATTATGTCAAATACTATATGTTGTCTGTTAGAGCTTTAGTATTACGGAGCGTTGGAGGGTTATAGAACCACAGGCTTAATTTGCTTACCTGTTTTATTTATACAGGTGAACCTCAGAGGGGTTGTGACTTGTCTGTGATTACAAGGCCTGCTTTTTTCTGTGTCTTTGTATGTTCCATAGTGCCACCACACTTAACTAATAAAAGTGTGTCATTAAAGCATACTATAGTACTTCCTGTATTGCCTTTTTAGCATTGTTTTTAATGTAATAATGACCTACCTGCTCACATTTTTCTCTACACAGGTGCAATCAAAGTGGAGCCTGCATCCCCACCTTATTATTCTGAAAAGACGCAGCTGTATAATAAAACTCATGAAGAGCCTACCAACTCCCTCATGGCAATTGAATGCCGTGTCTGTGGAGATAAAGCTTCTGGGTTTCACTATGGAGTTCATGCATGTGAAGGATGCAAGGTAAAAAATAACTTTTTTCTTTCTTCAAAGAATGTGCTGAAAATTTACCTATTTTTTTCATTTCCTGTTTCAAACTCACAACAAGGAATTGAGATAAAATTGTCAAAAATTTTTTTTAAAAAACTCACTATTTAGATGATATAATATATGAAAACCTAAGAAAATTAATAAAAGAAGGGTTACTTTGTCTCACTATTTGTTCTCCAATTTGGACCTATAAGACACTGATCTAATTTAACCCTCATATCTTGCAGGTTTTTTATTTTTAAGTGACTTGATCTAGGTATCGAGGCAAGATACTGATGAGCTGGCCCAAAATCCTGAATCTTCCAGGGTTTTTTTCACTGTACCATGTAATATTTTATATATGTAAGGTTTGACAGGTTTGATAGATAGATAGATAGATAGATAGATAGATAGATAGTCTCCGTTTGAGCCTTAGAATAGTCCTACAAGGTTGAACTCATTTATGGCCACTAACAGATGTAGGAATTATGAATTTATGAGACTTTCTCATAGTCATTTGTTAGTAAATGGCAGAGCTAGGACTAGAACCTATCTCATATGACTTCTAAACCAGTACTCTATTTTCTTATTCTTATGGACAGGTAAAGAGATATAACTATTTTGGAAAGGAAATACTTTTTCTCCTCACCTTTTTTCTTTCTGAAAAGAGGCATTTTGGAAAGTTCAAACATTTAGTAATATTTTGCCTGAGTTGCCTGAGTAGAAAATGTTAATCTACTCATATTTTAATATATAGTCTTTTAAAATAATTAATTTTAATATACTAAGTGTATAACATAGTAATAGAATAGTTTTTGTTTTATGCTCCAAGGCTTAGAATAAATCATTCATACTTACCTTATAAAATAAATGTTTAGTTTTTATAATTTTTATGAATATAATTTATAAATTGTGTGTATTATATTAAAATAATTATAAAATATTTATCTTATAAAATAAACACTGCTTATATTATATATCACATTTAATCCTCAGTTGGGCTATTTATTCAGAATAAAGGTATACAGCAGCTGGTAGGTAGGCATTAGAATATCTGACTTCCTAACTGGATTGTGGGCCAAAAAAGGAAATTAATATTTATTGAATTTCTACCATGCAGATATTGTGCAAGATGCTTTTGTATGTATCATTTTTAACCACATTCTGCCTAAGTTTTCACATCTATAAAATGATGGTTTTGAGCTGTAGCTGGTGTGGCCCAGCTTGGTTGGAGCACCATCCCATAACCAAAATATTGTGGGTTCGATTCCTGGTCAGGGCACAGGCCTAAGTTGTGGGTTCAGTCCCTGGTCTGGGCACATACAGGAGGTAACCAGTGTTTCTCACTCTCACTTCCTCTCTCCCTTCCTCTCTCTCTAAAAGCAGTGAAAAAATATCCTCAGGTGAGGATAAAAATAAATAAATAATTGAATTAGTTGAATAAGTTGAATTAAATGATCTTTAAAATCTCTGCAGTTCAAAGAGTTTACTACTCTGAGGCAACTAATAAAGTAAAAAGAGGCAAGCTAGTAGTCACTTGGGCCACGTGCCCAAAGTCACTAACCAATCACATAAACACTTTAGCCCTTAAGTCACCATATGTGTAAAATAACTTTGTTAGATTAGCTATCCAAGGTCTTACTCATCTCTAAGGTCTAAACTTCTAAAATTACTGCTTGAAAAATGCCAAGCAATATATGCTTTCATTTAGAACACTTAAACCCATTGATTCTGTGATTAAAACCAAACTAAAATATCTGTGGTCTTACATGAAATAATTATGCATAGTTATTTAAGATCTCAATGAGTAATAAAAATGTCATTTTATGGCATTAGATTTATACAATTTTTAGTAAATTTTTGATAAATCCTGAGAAATACCTCAAGAACCCATTCAATTTTGGTCATCTTGGTCATTTATATTGATAAATAATTTAAAACAGTATGAATGGTTAAGTTTCCACAATAAATTATTGTTTTTATGGGCTGATATAACACTTAGAAAACTAGAAAGTTTAAGTAAATAGTTTGACCATGTTTCTGTTAGTCATACCTTTGTGGAGAGTTAACATTACTGCGAACAGCTAAAATTTGACAGACAGAAATATCGTCAGTAGTTGGTTATAGTGATAAAGGCTAAGTTCTAAAGGCACAAAAACCTTGAAGATAAAAGCAAGCAAAGAAGAAAGGTAGCAATAAAAAAAAAAGAAGGGAAAGAAGAGGGAGGAGAAAATCCCTATACCTTTAAGTTAGGAACAAAAAGGGTTCTAAGGCAGAGACGGGGAATAAACTCTTAATAAAACCTGAAAAATACAGGGAGTTCTTAACCTACCACAGAAAAATAAAAACAATAGATGAAAATTAGGAGTATTGTATACTTACATTCAGTAACTTATAAGTCATCCAAATATGAATTACAGACTTCCTAGACTAAAATACAAAGGTTATGCTAACTTTGGGAGGGAAAATAAACATCTACTCACTTTAAAGATAAGAGTAAACAAAATGTTAGTGAAATAATATAATTTGTCTTCTACAAGTTAACAGTTCTCAAAATGTGCTCTGGAGACTTCTAGGGGTCCCTAAGACACTTTCAAAGCACCCATGAGATTGAAACTATTTTCATAATAATACTATGTTTTTATTTACCATTTTCACTCTCATTCACTCAGAAGTATAAAGTGGAATGTTCTAGAACTGCATGGCATGGAATGACAAGACAGCTCTGATGGCTAATGAAATGAAATATTTGCCTGTATGTTTTTATACATAAAAATTTCTGAATTTTAATTTCTCCTCTGGTAAATACCATAAAGATAGCCCACATAAACTAATGCTCTTTGCATTCCTCAACAATTTTTAGGAGAGTAAGAGGTCCTGAGACCAAAAAGTTTGAAAACCGCTGTTACAAGCCATTGAGGCTGAAGAAATAAATGCACATTCCTTGCCACTCTGGAACTAAACAAATCTGCTGCCGCACAGTGCAGCTTCATTAGACCAGTGGCTATCAGTAATCAAAATAGTTCCTTAGCTTGTCAACAATACTCAGTGGTAAGCCAAGAAAGTCAATGTGTTTGACTCATCTGCATGTTTTTCTGGAAGGTGCTTTGGCCATTTAATGTTTGCCATTTTAGCAGTAGAATATAGGCTATACATACCAGTGGTTAAAATATAGTTGACCACAAACCTGCAGACTAATTTATGGATTGAAAAGGATAGTTAGATTGCTTAAGATAGCTGTTAGTAGGTCTTCTTAAGCAATTTCACAATGCCAATGGAACAGGTTTACATTAGTGATCCTTGCCAAAATTCAAACAGGAATGAAAAAGTTGGGTTTGGATTAAAGTAAAATAGTGACAGATTCTTGGGTATATTAATTAACATTGCAGACTTAGGTAAAATATAAGCTTTAGCTACTGAAAGATATAAGTACCTTAGAGCTTGCAAAATTGACAATTTTTTGGTTACAATTTGGACACTTACCAGTATTTTTTTCTCTATTAGGTTTCATCATATTTTTGTATCTTTAGTGAAAGATTACTTTAGAACCATAAATTTACCTAAAGATATAAGTAAATACAATTTATCATACAATACAGTATAACCTATTTTTATATTTCTACATAAAACACTACTCCAGGAAGAACTTTGTGTATGTTCCCACCTGCCAAAGGTAGGTTATTGATTCAGCTTCTGTGTGCCATACATTTTATAGGAGAGATGCATGCAGGCCAGCCAGCACAGGGCTTTAATCTCATTGTAAACCTAACAATACCATTCTTAGATCACATTACACATGGAGTTTTGTTAAAAGTCAAGCAATTAAGGAGATGTAGAAAATACCTTTTAAAAGCGAAAGGTTTTAAGCCTTTCTATGAAGCCTTTAGAAGGATTTATACACAAAACTGAAATGGTGACTGATACGTTTCCAGCACACCAGCTCACAGACTTCATGATAATCACGAGAGTAAATTGTTGACATTGCACATTGTTTTGTGGATTCTGAAATAATAAATAAGAGTGTTTCTTCATTAGTAATATGAAAAAACTTTGTATAAGCCTGCAACATTCTTCAAATCACTAAATATTTTACAGAAAGACACTTAGTAATGGTTTATATCTTCCTTGCTAGATTTCTTTTTTAATTTAATCTTTATTGCATTTTTTCATTACCATTTAGTTCCCTTATAACCTCCAGCCCACCCCAGCAATCACCATACTGCTGTCCATATCCATGAGTGCTTTTTCCTTTATGCTCAATCCCTCCACACCCTAACCAACACCACACTGAACTAGCTGTCATCTGCTCTCCATCTATGAGTCTGTCTCTGTTTTGCGTTTTAGTTCAGTTTGTTCATTAGATTCCACATAAGAGTGAAATCATATGGTATTTGTCTTCCTCTGACTAGCTTATTTCACTTTGCATAAGTTTCTCCAGGTCCATCCATGCTGTAGCAAAAGGTAAAATAATATTCTTTTTTACAACCAAGTAGAATTCCATTGTGTAAATGCCCAATAGTTGTTTTATCCACTCATCTACTGATGGACACTCAGGCTGCTTCCATATCTTGGCAATTGTAAATAATGCTGCAATGAACATAGCGGTGCTTATGTTCTTTCAAAGTAGTCTTTTTGGTTCCTTCAGATATATCCCCAGAAGTAAGATGGCTGGGTCAAAAAGCAGATCCATTTTTAATTTTTTTGAGGTATCTCCATACTGCTTTCTGAAGTGGCTGCACCAATCTGCATTCCCACAAACAGTGCAAAAGGATTTCCCTTTCTCCACATCCCCACCAGCACTTGTTGCTTCTTGATTTATTGTTGATAGCCATTCTGACACATGTGAGATGATACCTTGCTGTGGTTTTAATTTGCATTTCTCTGATGATTAGTAACGTTGAGCATCTTTTCTTATGTCTTTTGCCATCTGTACATCCTCTTTGGAGAAGTATCTGTTCAGGTCCTTTGCCCAATTTTTAACTGGCTTGTTTGTTTTTTTGGTGTTGAGTTTTGTAATTACTTTATAAATTTTGGATATTAACCCCTTACCAGATGTATTGGCAAATATGTTCTCCCATTCTGTGGGTCGTCTTTTTATTTTGTTGATGATTTTCTTTGCTGTGCAGCTAGATTTCTTAAAAACATCAAATGGCAAGAAAACCATTGGTTATCATGAAGTTAGTGTTAAGGAAAAGAATAAATCAAAGTTCTAAGTGGTATGCTAGAGTCTGTATATATTATTCAATTCAAGACTTTATGTAGCTATATAGTACATAAATGATATTAAGAAAGACTATCTATCCTTTGACATTAAAAGGTCCTGAATCATAGCAAAAAGAATGTAATACACTTTGAAAGACACCATGAGTCCAAACAAAAATTTGCATAATAAGAGTTAAACTTAACATAATTCTCTTATCAAAAACCTTCTTCTCCAGCCATGCCAAATAAATCAAGTACTCTGGGACCTGCCTCATTGTCAACTAGCCAAGCAGCATTTTCAACCACTAAAATTAGTTTGAAAAAGTGAAAACCATTGAGGGAATATTATAAAACATATATGATCACAATGGTAAAAGTTAAAATGAAATATCCCACCAACATTTATCAGTGAGAACAGTTGTCTTCGCTGTTAGTTATTAGCCTTCTTTTAATGAGTGAAAAAAACTTTTAATATTCAAAGGTCCTCAGAACCCTTGGGGAATTAAGGAGGCTTTGACTTCCAGCAGATCCTACATAGGACATATTCTTTGAGGTATTTCTCATCTCACACGAGGTAGGGAAAACTCTCCAAACAACCAACAATTACAAAACAAACAAATCCTAGGTCTTGAGCTGTGAGCTGCAAGCACTTAGAAGAGTGGTGTTTCCCTCATAACAGATGCCCATAGGAGTACTCAGGTGCAGCATTGCCTCAAATACAGGTGCCTGTAGCAGTATTTGGAGCCATCAGTGAAAAGGGACTTTGAATTAAGCCTGAATTCTCAAGGGAATCTGAAATAGCCTTAAGTCAATGGCACCCCTGGCTTCCAACAGAAGCATTTTCCAATTCTTTTTGGAGGAAAGAATTCCTAGTTTAGACTCTGTAGGATTCTCATAGTTTATGGTCAGGAAATGAGTTCAAAATAAAACATCAATAAGCACATAGAAAGCAGTTGACTTGAATGCCATATATCAGAAATAAACAAAAATGAATTTAGACCCCTCAGCCCCTACCAAGGGGATATTGGGAAAGCAGATATTGGGACTGGACTGGCAGATACAGATAGAAAAACTGTGTATATTTTTTTTAAAGAGGGCAGAATCACAGCAATCAGTAAGCAACAATAGACCATCAGGAATGACCATGTAGATTTGGAAAATAAACCAAATGAAACTTCTAAAAGTAAAAAATATATAATTATTGAAATAAAGCCAATGGTAGGGTTAAATAGCATACTGCACACAGCAAAAAAATTTTACTGAACTGAAAAATAAATGCAAAGAAATTGCTGAGAGTGAGACTCAAAGTGTCTCAAAGAATATGTCTTATCCAGAATCTGCTAGAATTTGAAGCCTCTTTTAGTTCTTGAAGCATTAATAAGATTTTTGAATATTAAAAAACGATGTCTTCTTCTCTAATGAATAGAAGAGTTATGTACAGAACTGTTCTCATGGATGAATTTTTGCCACTAATTATATAGTTCTGTGATCTTAATTGATGGCTGTTTTAATGTTGACTTTTGCAATCAATATTAGAGAGTAATTAACTACAAGAAGATAGAAAATATAAAAGAGGATAGAATAAGAAAGTCTAATGCTTATCTAGTTAGAGTGTCCAAACTTATGAACAAGTAAAACCATGATGCGGAAAACAGCATGCCCAAGAAGATGAATAAAAAGAAATTCATGTTTACATACTGCAATAAAAATTTCAGAATACCAAAGACAAAGGCAGTATGTAAAAGCAACCAAGAGAAAAGACAAAAATGCCTTCAAAATTGATTGACAACAGACCTCTCAACAGCAGTGGAAGCACAAAGATAATAGAATTCAAAGTGAAATAGAAAATAACTGAGTATGCTATATCTTTCTTTTTTTAGTACTCTATATCTTTCAACAATGAGAGTGAAATGAAAACGTTTATAGGTTAAAAAGCAAAAAAGACAAATAATAAATTTCAAGGATAGTAAGCCATAGACAGGAGAAGATATTTGCAACACTTATATCAGACAATGGACTTGTATCTATAGTATAATAAGATTATCTAAAATTCAATTTTAAGAAAAAGACAATCCATTGAAAAACTTGGAAATGAAAAATTAGAGAAATACAAATTAAGGTCCTATTTCGATTCTATTTTATACATACTACATTGTCAAAAATTAAGATGCCCAATGATACCAAGTGCTGGAGAGAATGTAACTTCTGTAAGCTAGTAGTGGGAGTGAAAATTGGTATAAACATTTAGGAAAACAATTTGGAATTGTCTTGTAAATTTAACATTCAAGTATTGTATAATCCAGAAACTCTGCTCCTAAGGGAACTTTTGTATATGTGCATTATAAAACAAAAAAAAATATTTATAGAAGCACTATTTATAATAGAAAAATTGGTAAGAATTCAAACATGAGAGAATAAATTAATAAATTGTGGCATAGTCATATAATAGAATATTATACAACTCTGAAAATGAATAAATCATAGCTTCTCAACAAGAAAGTGGATAAATTTTAGAAACCTAATACTCAATTCTTTTAATGAAAGTCCCTTAAAAAGACATGAAGTATGATAGTGTTTAATAAAGCCTCAAAACAATTATAACTAAACAATGTATTATTTAGTTTTACAGACTGTGTGATAAAACTATATCTTCTTAAAAGTCAAGGAAATGATAAACACAAAGTTCAGGATGATAACCGTCAAGGGGACACAAGTGCGGGAGTTGAATAAGAGAAGAATACATAAGTATTCTGGTCATGATTTTAAATCTTGGGTTGGATAACAGGCTTCATGTGTGATAATTATCTTGTTATATTTTATGATTACATGTATTTTCTACATGTTTGTAATTAATACTAATAAAATAACATAGAAAATAAAAGGAAGAGAGTATGACAATGGCCTTGTAAGACCGCAGTTACAGTTTAGGATCAGAGAATATCAGAAATGGAACCCCCTCCTCACTTTACACGTAGAAAGGGTGAGGCCCAGTAAGGAAGTTAAGTGACACACATGTTTATTCAACAGATTTTAATGGAGAACTATTGTTGGTGTCAGGGCTTCATCCAAGGGTGTAAGATACCATCCCTAGCCCCATGGAGCTCACTGTTGGGCAGTGGGGGAGGGGCAAGAAAATAAACACAAACATAGTAAGTAAATTATATTGTATGCTAGAAAGTCTTAAATCTATTGAAGGAAAAGAAGAAAAACAAGGGCAAAGTAAAGGAGATCAATATTTCCAGAGGAAAATTGGGGGCAAGAACAGGCCACAGTGTTAAATAAGGTAGATAAGCTTCACTGAGAAGTTGAGGTTAACAAAAACTTGAAGGTAATGAAGGAAATAGGCAAGTGTATATTTAGAGAAAGAGCTTTCTACATCAGACAAAGAAATCAAGAGTGACTTCAAGGATTTTGGCTTGAGAATGTGGGAGGATGAAGTTGCATAAATTGAAATGGAAAAGCTGAGGTGAAGTAAGTTTGCGAGGTAAGATCAGGACTTTAGTGTAGAATATGCTGGGTTCAAGGTGGCTATTAGATTTCCAAGTGAAGGTGTCAAGTAAGCACTAGAACATACTTGTCTAAGGTTCAAGATAGAAATGTGGAGAAAGTCAAATGACATCAGTGACAGAATCAATACTAGTTCAGTGCTTTTTGTACCAAACAGAATGAGATAAATTTGGAAGAATTAAGAGCTGAGATCTATTAAAATGAACACAATAGAAATGAATAGTACTCTGAACAAAAAAGTGGAGTTAGAAAACATTTTGACTTTTTCCAGGTCTTTTTGCAGAATTTTTTTTAGGTCTTCCCAAAAATATATAAATATAGCAGTATTCAGTTAGCCTCAAGTTGACATATTTCCTATTTTGAGATAGTTGATTTTCTGAGGATTTATCTATTACTTACCATATTATTTTCTTTTTTACATTTTTATTTATTTTTAAAGATTTTATTTTCAAAGAGATGGGAAGGGAAGGAGAGAGAGAGGGAGAGAAACCTCAATGAGCAAGAGAAATATGAATTGGTTGCCTCTTGCATGCCACCAACTGGGGGCTTGGCCTGCAACCCAAGCACGTGCCCTGACCGGGGATTGAACTGGTGACCCTTCAGTTCATAGGCCAGTGGTCAGTCCAATGAGCCACACCAGACAGGGCTCATGTTATTTTCTATTATTTCTTTTTGTTTGTAGGCTACAACAATTATGGAACACACACACTTTCAGCTGCACAAATAAATGAAACCAATTCTGCAGGAAATTATGCAACATAGAGAATTCCAAAAAATTATCCACATGTGGATTTTTATTGGCCCTGATCATGTATTGCGATGAAATGATTATAACTTTGCCAAACTGCTTAGTACAAGTATAAGGGTTTGGCGTGCTCCTGGAATAGTTTGCAGAGATACTGAACTGATTAATTGATGTTTTATTTGCACTTTTTAGAGCATGCTGAAATCCAAATGTAAAGCCAAAATCCATTGAATGACATTAGTTGGATGTGGTCACTTTCTAAGAGCTAACACAGGACACTGGAAATCCTCATGCAGTTCCAGAAAGGTTAAGTGACTTGCCTAAAGTCACCAGTGCCAGAAGTGTGTGAAGCACCTGCCTTTGCTGGTACCCAGGCCATTGTGCCTTTACCCATACATTGCTGCTTCAATGCATCACAAAGACTTATAATTTGCTTCTTTTTTATTATCTCTTTGCAGGGTTTCTTCCGGAGAACAATCAGATTGAAGCTTATTTATGATAGGTGTGATCTTAACTGTCGTATCCACAAAAAAAGTAGAAATAAATGTCAATACTGTCGGTTTCAGAAATGCCTTGCTGTGGGGATGTCTCATAATGGTAAGTGAACACTTAGCTCCATGTATTTTATTATTCTCATTACGGCTGCCAGATCAGTAAACATGAAGGCCATTGATGAAAACATGTACTTATACCACAGAATGCCAGGTTTCAGAATATTGCATACTGACAAAGCATTTCTCATTTAGGTCAGAGATTTTAAGCTGTTGTGAGGAATCCTCTCTGTGGTTGGGCATGTGCTATGATCAGAGTAAAGACTTGAAAATCTGGGAGGTGATAGAAATAACCTGTAGTATTTTAAAACAAATATGATATGTGTGATTATATTTTATGTTGCTTTAATAGCATTAAACAGATTATACTTCTGTGTATCAATAGTTTCTTTCTAATTTAAATGTAAGAATTCTGCAGATTTCTAGATATGGAACTTTAGGTGGCTTATCAGAATTTAGATTTATATATTCTATTTATTATGCAAAGATGAGTGTAGCTATAGCAGTAGTCTTGACTTTGAGCAGCATACAAACTTGTGAATAAAGAAATACATTAAAGTTCCACAAAACTTCAGTGTCTGTAGAAAGATAAGAGAATAAAACTTTCTACTTTTTAAACCTATATCAAAAATCAAGCTTATGAATTGGAGTGTTGACCTAATGAGTGACCTAACAAGGAAAATGTAGAAGACCTGAGAAGACCCATATTTTCATGAGTTGTAGAGCTCACTCAACAAAGTCCTGGAAGATAGGCCTGTTTGAATAAATAGTTCTTGATTTCTATTTAGCTCTGACTGATTAACTAGATTATAAAACAAATTTTGATGTAATGATATTATTATATTTTTCAAGTATTAGTTCTTTAAAAACTCATTATAGGCTCAAGAAATGTAAAATGCAAATGTGATCAAAATGAATCCAAAGTCTCATTTCATTGGATATCCTGTTTTTTCTTTCTTTTGCCTTCATCTCTCTCAGAACTGATCTGGTATAAGGATAATCTCTCTCTCCCTTTCTCTCTCTCTCTCTCTCTCTCTCTCTGTCTCTCTCAACTGTATTTTTATTGTTTACACTCTTACAGCTGCCCCTATTTTCACACTCTTTGCCTGCCTCCCCCTCTTCCCGCTGGCCATCACCACATTGTTGTCTGTGTCTGTGGATTATGCATATATGTTCCTTGGCTAATCCCTTCCTTTCTTTATCCAGTACCCACTCCCCTCTCCCTTCTGACAGCAGTCAGTGTGTTCCATCTATCCACGGAATCTTTAAATCAATCTTCATCTATAAGGACTCCAAAGCATCTGTGAAAATTAAGTTTTTGCTCATTATGCTGATGTTTTGTTTTTGCAGTGAAAATCATCAAGATATTTGGGAATCACTAATTGGTTGATACCCTACTCTTTAAAAATAGTTTTAAAATTATATTTTTATCATTAAATGGGTCATTTACTCTAAATACAAGAATGTGTTATGAATAGATCTATTAGCTATAGTTGACAGGAAGGAAATTTGGTCTAACTTTCCTCAACAGTTAATACATCTGCTGTGTATACAACTGCATTCATTGATTGCAAAATAATTTGGTGGTTAATATCATCCATTTTCTTTTTATTTCAGACCTCATAAAACATAGGGCATGTTTTCAAGTCAAGGGTTGTGTATTAGGTGATGAAATCAAGTTGCAATAAACTTCATTTATCTTTATGAAGAAATCTTTGATTTGAGGTCATTATCTATAAGACTGCCTAGAAAAACATGCCAGTTCTGCTTTTAATGCTGTTTCTTTTTTGTTCTTTAAAAAAATTGTCACTTTACACATTGATGTAAAATATATTTCCTGTTGCTTGTACATATTCATGTAAAATATATCTCCTATTTCTTATTTTTAATAGGCAAATAGTATTTAAAGCCCAACCTATGTGGTATTGAGGATATAATTTTCTCTCCACAGAAAAGTCAAAGAAAGCTATTATGAACTGAGTAAGGTCATCTTTGAACATCTTATGACTATTTAAATAAAGGAATTAAACATCACGCATCAAAGGCTTATACAGTTTAACACTTACAGGAGTGCAAACATGACTAAGAGAATCCCTTCCCAGAGGTTTTTATGGTAATGTGTTTGCTGCAGAGAGAAGAAAACATCCACTTAATCTACACATAAGAAGGGGGACTCCACAACTAGATTTTGATTAGTTTAGCCTGTTTTCCTGATGAAGGAACCATTTTTAAATGCAAAATTTTCTAGATCATAGTAACTATTTAAAATTCATTGCTTTGTCCAATGTGAGGCCAACTGTAATGAGATTTCCATTAATACAAAAATGCGTTTTTGTTAATGTTTTGTATGAATGGTCCTCAGTGTAAGAACCCACCAACTTAATAAAGAGGCTTCGTGTGTTATATCAAAATCGGCACCTCACTGTTTTTAGTATGCACAAGAAGAAATGAACATTCCCCTGAAGTAAATTTGCTTCTTTCTGTGTTACTTTTATTTTTGTTCTTTGGTCTTTGCGTAGTCCATTCTCTGCATTTAGCTTCCATGTTAGCTACACACTCCCAGCTTTGAAAGACACTTCTAAAGTAACCATCAAAGAACCCAAAGGCCCTAGGGAATGTTGGAAAATCACCGAAATCAGCAATTGCTAAGTTCTTTTAACTTTGAAAAGTCTATGATGCTATATAAGTCAAAAAACCTATGTCACTGAATTTTTCACTTTTCAACTAGTTATTCTATATCTTACAATGTCAGTCTTCCCAAATATTTAGGCAATTGATACCTGTCAGTCACCTGAATTTAAAAGTTTCCATCTGTATGATTTGGCACCATAAAAATATAATTCGTATGCCTGAATCATGTCTTCTGTATGTTCTGATCAGTTGCTCACTAATGTCAGACAGTACATTTGATAATTGCATAATGATACATTTTGATCATGACATGTAGCCTAAACATTGTAGAAAGATATGACTTCAGCATTTTTCCAATTAGAAACCTAGCTGTTTCTCAAATACCCATTTTCAGCATTGGATAGAAAAAGCACGCAGTTGTTGGATTGATGTACTTGGGAGAAATTTTTCGTTTTTCAGTAATTATCAAGATAAATACATATTGCCATGATTTTGGTCATTTAATAATCCTTCATTTTTAGACCATGGGCCAATCCTGCTGATTGCTCCAAAGTCTTCCTGAGTCATCTCAAGCATGGTCAGCCCAATACCCTGTCCAGACACCTTTAGAGGAAGGCTCCAAAGACAAGTAAAGCAGAAATAAAGAGCTGACTTCCTAGGCTACCCAGAATTAACTTACTAAGGGATTATTACATCAGCTACTATTTGTTTTATGTTTTGAATTAATAAAGCAGGTATCTACAGAATCTTGATAAAAACACTCTCATAGATTAATGTTGCCTCTTCAGTCAAATGGGCCCTTACACATTTTTATGTGTAAGGGTTTTAGGTAAGGGCTTTAGGTTTTTAAAGCATCAGTTTTGTGTTCAAGTCCTGTTGTCAAAATTTCTGCCATTAATCATATTTTTAAATGTGCCCTTTTTATTTTTAATGAGATGATTTAGTCATTAAGAATTTTGACTAGTCAATATTTCATATTCAGAGATGCTTTTCATGTATGAAGTAAATAATAAAATACTAAGTATTGGCTCTGCAGAAAAAATAATCTGATGTAGAGAAGAATTGACTTACGTCATTCAGCTAGGTTTTTCCCTATGCCATTGAGATTTGAATAAAAATTATGTTTTTCATAAATATAAAAATTAGTGAAACCTTAGCTTTACTGATTAGGATGTCCTGTTATATAAATAATGGGGTTTTTTAGTTTTTAAAAAAGGCTGACAACTTAAAAATAATTTCTCAGTGGCTTCATAAAAGTTTAGAAAAGTGGTTTCAGAAATTTTTGTGGCACTCAGCATTTTTAAGGTAGTTCCTTTCTTCCTTGTAAACAGAAGCTCTGGTGTATATTGCAAAAAAGAAAAACATCAATGGCAAATAAATTTAAACTTCAAATTGTTACTCTTTTTTTTCTTTAGTCTTCTTTGTGATATAAAGGAAAATTACCCAAATGTTAACTTTTAGGAAAATATAACAGAGTAAATCATCCTAATGCACATAGCAGGCATGTTACTCAAACCTGGCTGGCCTTCATGATCATTTACAGTCTAGCCTCCACTGCTTTATCCTGCTGCTGCTCTTTTCCACGTAAATTTCAGACAAACTGTGTTCTTTGCTCTTCCTGGAAAATGCCTGTGGGCCTCTGTGTACTATGTCCTTCAGTTCCCTAGTTAAAAAAAAAAAAACAAAAAACCTACCTGGTATTCAAGGCCCAGTTCAAATGTCCTCTCTTTCATAAGACTTTTAATTCCCCATTTTTCCTCTTCTCTTGTTTCATGCCTTTCTCTGACATCACATTGTGACTTTTTTTTAAATCACTTTTTTTCAAATCACTGTTTAACTACAGTTGTCCCCATTTTCCCCTCCACCACTCTGCCCTACCCCACCCACACCCACCTCCCACACTCAATCCTACCCTACCGCCATTGTCTTTGTCCTTAGGTCCTTTATACATGTTCTTTGACTACCCTTCCCCTTCTTTTCCTCGTTATCCTCCTCACCCCTCCCCTGTGGTTACTGTGCCTTATAAAGCAAGGTAGTGATCACATCTGCTAACAAAAACCAAATTTCTATAGACAGCAATAAAAGGGATAAATAAAGCTGAGGACAGGGAGGGAATCAGGGAAATTTATGAGAACTCCAGTAATATATTATGAACTAAGACATTGGGATAGGTGAGAAGAAATGGAATTGAGAGAAATATCAGAACAATGACCAATGAATATAAATGTCTGCAGGGAGAGAGATTGTCAAGACTATTCGGGGTATCTAGTTTGGCTGATAAAATGAATTAACCAAAAAAGGAAAAGAGGATGAGGAGATAGTTTGGAAGGGGGAAATGAAAAGTTCATTTTTATGTTGTAGTTGAAGTGCTTATGGGATAGCCAACATCCATGTATAAAGGAATCTAGGAAGAAG